AAGCTGAGCGGCACTCCCAGTTGTAAGTAGCAACTGCACTTCAACCACAGGGTATGTACGAGTTAGAGCAGACTGTAATTTTTCAATTACGTCAGTTGCGATATGATCTCCTACTCCGATAGGTAGGTTCAAAACAACCAGCGTCTTAGGGACCGTACTCACGGCATTCGTGATCAGTCTTTTCTGACTGTGAATATCGATGAACTTCTGACGATATCCGTTTGCGAGCAGCACCTCCTCTCCTCTCCTTGCAAACAGTCATCGGTGCAGATCTGCCGGCCTCTATTAAACAGAAGACCTCGTTTATGAGTAATTGGTTCGAAAGAAGAAAATTGCAAATACTGACCACTCACAGTGACCTGGCGACGCACTGAGCGCTGTAGTGAGCCATCCTGCTGTCGAAGTGAATGAAATGTCTAGAAACGATAAACTGCTGTTTGCTTCCACTTCATGAGAAACAGAAGAAGTAAGATGAACGGAATTAAAAAGGTTTTCAGTGAGAACTATCATCTCTACTTTACAAGTAATTAGAATATTTCCCAAGTTAAATGAATGTCGTTGTAGACTACTGGAGCTTTTCTACGAATAGAACCGTGGATATTCTCTGGAATAGTCAAACCAGAAAATCGAATAATTGACAATGATATATTTTTTTTCACTTGAAAACCTTTTTAATTCCGTTCATCTTAATCCTTCTGTTTCTCATGAAGAGGAAACAAACAACAGTTTATCGTTTCTAGACATTTCACTCACTCGACAACAGGATGGCTCACTACAGCGCTCAGTGCGTCGCCAGGTCACTGTGAGTGGTCAGTATTTGCAATTTTCTTCTTTCGAACCAATCACTCATAAACGAGGTCTTCTGTTTAATAGAGCCCGGCAGATCTGCACCGATGACTGTTTGCAAGGAGAGGAGGAGAGATTAAAGAAGGTGCTGCTCGCAAACGGATATCCTCAGAAGTTCATCGATATTCACAGCCAGAAAAGACTGATCAAGACTGCCGTGAGTACGGTCCCTAAGACGTTGGTCTTTTTGAAACTACCTATTCAAAGGAGATCATATCACAACTGACGTAAGTCAAAAATTACAGTCTGCTCTAACTCGTACATACCCTGCGGCTGAATTGCGGTTGCTACTCACAACTAGGAGTGTCGCTCAGCTTATTCATAATCGTGACCTACCGAAATGTTCTGTCTCACATGTAATCTATCAGTTCACTTGCAGTTGCGGTGACGTCTATATCGGCAGAACAGATCGGTGCCTACGACAAAGAATGGCTGAACATATGCCTAAGTGGTTGGTGCGCGCCATGACGCAACAGGCAATGGCAACAGAGCGATTGAGACGAAATCCGACCTCATCCATTGCAAAACACATCATGGAAACAGGTCACGTTGTTGACCCCGCCAACTCGTTTCAAGTATTGTTGCGTAATCGGAATCCGAAATTGCTTGCCTTCTCCGAGGCAATGTTAATCAATACTCGCCGTCCGGTCCTGTGTGTGCATAAACTGTTGACTCACGCAGTTTGTCTGCCCTGGAACTGATAACAGTCCTTGTTTCATGTAAACCCAATCGTTGATTGTTTCTATTGTTGTTGCTATCCGCATGTCCTATATATTCTAATGTTTTACGTTCGTGACTGAAGAGAGTAAACGAAATGTTAACATCTCGCGACATATGTATTTAATCATTATTGGCGAACTGTGAATAGTCTTCAACCCCCTGGCTGACCAGCTGATTTGGTGTGCTCAAAGGGGAACTTGCATACGCTGCATTAGTTCAATGTTGACTTAGTCAGTTATCGCTAATCAATTATGTTTCAGTTGTACCTACTTAGAGCTTGAGCAAGACAAACAAATGTCATGAAATGACGATCGGTCCAGGCGTCCGCATGTTGGAATTGTCCATCCTAACTCTGACAACCTGCGTTTGTGAATTGAACGCATCAACTGAGAACAAACTGAACAGTTTCTACACGTCGTGTTTAACAAAGAGAGTGAAAACGTTTGTCTGCGTCGATTTCCCAGGCGCCAAACTCAACCGTTTCCATGACAAGAATGTGCTAGCAACTTGAAAGGCCATATGTGGATGTAAAATCAATTGTGCATTCAAACTGATAACGGCAGTGGCACCAGAAATTTACATCAGCAGTTGATTATGTTACTTATTTTTGTCATAGTTAGCCTAACCGGAATCATACTCACGATCAACCCACTGCATAACAATCTCTTAGTTTAGAATAAATATTTGTTCTGATAGTTTCTGGATTCAGCTGCTTAACCATCTCTTAAATTTCAACAGTATCATAGACGATGATCCTAATTGTTATGAACAACTGGACTACTTTGGTTTAGCTCTGTTGATGGTAAAACTTCCTAGGCAAACCAATGCATTCGAATGGGAGATCACATCACATTTCAGCATCATTGTAAATGCAGTACTACATGCGTTTTAATTGGAAGCAGATGCGTAATAAATGTTAAACGACCGTTTGAAACCAATC